AATAAGGTGTGTGGTTGACACACTTAACAGAGTGGTAGTGTCGTGGTGGCAATGTTAGATCATGCAATCGTGTAGTCCATTCTGGTTACTGCCTTACAGCTTAAAAAACAAATCATAAAAGTGGTGTTCATTTATAAAGATTATCTTGCTGAATACCATTAAACGTGTAAGCATCATAAACTTTTGTTTTTCACACAGCTTATTTTCTGCAATAATCCAAAATTGAATGGAAAGATTCCATTGGCTTTTTGGAGCGTTAGCGTCAGGACGACGCTAACTTCCGCATCAGCCTACAAAAGATGTCATCCCTGCAGCACTCTGTTACGAGAGTATCTAGCTTCAGTATCTTGATGTATTTCTGAGTGAAACAGGATTAGCAGGCGGGATTCCCATGCGGAATATAATGTTGGAGGTAATTTGATTTAATTGTTGGAAACAGAGGCCTGGGACATAGCATACTGTTTGTATTTTTTGTTTTACAGGAAGAAAATATGACTGGGTTTTAATATAAGAATACAAAGAAGTGGGTTTTACGTTATTTTTTGTCATATATCGTTAAATATGTGCACGATATGACCAGGGATGTGATCTAAAAGGGTTAACAATGCATTTTTAATTTTATCTTGACATTAAGAACAGTATTTTAGTAAATGTACTCAGTCATTACTCAACCCTGGCAATGTTTAGCATATGTATTAGAGTCTCAGCTGTTATGTTGTTGTAGTCATCTTTTGGGTAACACCTAAATGCCTTAAATGCCTGTAATGGAATGTGTGAGCCGATGGTGCTGAAGCTTTACAACATATTGTAGGCGTTCCTGAACCAAATGATGATAGCTGGGTGGTTGACTGACGGCTAAAGGCTGGGAGAGAGGAGCTGCAGGCAGAGAAGTGTTGCAACTTATGTCTAAAATGAATCATCTGACTGGAGACAATATCACTGCACAGTCCTGACTAATGCTGGCAAAGTGTATTTAGCTTTGTTTATTTATCTTGTACTGATAGGTGTGCTATTCTTTTCCATGTCATTTTTTTTATTAAATGAAAATTAATTTCTTCATTGTATTAGTTGATTTCCACATCAGCATATCGCAGCCACCACGACTAAACAAAACTAAGAGTCCATGCTAACGGCTCTTTGAGGCTCTTTGAGGTTCTGCTTACTGTGAGCACAGTGTTGTTTTCAACATCAGCATGCTTACATGCTCAAAATGACAATGCTAACATTCTCATGGTTAGCTGGTACAGGCCTCGTGTACACCAGGTTCACCATCTTAGTTTAGCCTGTTAGCAGCATGCTCTTGTTAGCACCACTTGCTCAGCACTGAACACACACTGAGTGTTCCAAATACTACCATACTATATAGTATGCCAGAAAAAAGTATGTCCCAATACATATGTCAAATGCAGAATGCCAAAAATACCAGGATGTTCTACTACATCCAATCTGATTTTAAAGTATGCTAGTCTGACCCAAAACCCACAACCTTCAATAGGGGAAGGTTCATCACATTGACTGAGCCACAAACAAATGACAGCAATGTCGCAATGATGGATAAAAGTGCATTCAAGTAACTGATGACAATAATGTCCAATAATTCTAGTAGGAATATTAATGGTTTAAGTGAACAAAATCAAAATCAAATAATCATGAATATTACAAGCAACAAAAGGACATACAGCTATAAAAATAACAATGACAGAACTGCAGATGTAATTTCACTGTCGCAAATATAATATGTTAGAATCTATAATCTGTGCAGTTATAACTTAGTTAACATTAAAGTTAAACTACATACATCACAAAGTGACAACAGCAGATCTCCCGGTTGATCTTTGTTTCTACTGAGCTTGTTAAGTGGCGTTTGTTTTATCTCAAAGGTAATGGATGTAAAACCAAGAGGGTCAAAGTTCAGGGCATAATGTCATGACACAGTTGTATGTCCCAATTGTGTGTATACTGCATGCAACAGTATGTACTTTTTAAGGGCAGCTGCAATACATACTATAAGTTAGAATAAAAAGTATGTGATTTGGAAAGCACCCAAAGTACAGCTAATGCTAATGGGAATGTCACCAAACTTATTATTATCATGAATGTTTGCACAAATTGTTGTTCTGATTCAACAAGCAGTCAACATGTTGAGATATTTAACTTTATAGTGAAAACTTTGACCAGCTGGTGCCTCAAGAAGAAAGGTCAGAGGATCACCAAATATTAGAAGTCATCCTCTTGGGACCATGAATGTCTGTACAAAATTTCAATCCATCCAGCTAAAAACGGTGGGAGCGTGGCTACAAAAGAACTAGTTTTTCACTGTGATAAGAAACTTTTATCATTATAACTTCATACACAAGCTATTTCTGTGTTATGTTTTTACTTTTCTCATTATTGTTACATACCAAATTATGTTAACACATAACCAGTCATGGTCCAGTTCATTGTATTACTAATGTAGGCTACAGTGTCTTACCATTGACTGGAGTATTTTTTTTTAATCTTTTCTTTTTACAATGGAAGGACAGCTATGGAAGTTTGTTGTTCAGACAACATACCAACTTATAAACTAAAGGTTTCTTGTAATGGGATAAGTCTGTGTATCATTATAACAACAAACATCTCTGATGTATTTTTACAATGCTGGTACGCCGGTATTACTTTGTAATGAGACAGACAGCTTTTTGATTTAAATATACAACAATATGTTGCTAAAAAGTTCTATTAAAACAGAACAATTCTCTGTGTTGTGGGCTAATATTGTGGAAAATATACAGATATATTTTGCCACTGCAGCAATATGTTGCACACCACACTATTTCCTTGCTATCTCACATCAGACTTTCCCTGGCCCTTCCTGAAACACAGTGTTCTATACCTGTCTTTAATCGCTAACTCACAACGTGCCTGTCCTGAAGTATACATGAAAAATTCCAATCAGCAATTTCATCACAGATTCTTGTTCTGCCCCTCCTAGATTCTCTCTCTCTCTCTCACACACACACACACACACACACACACAAACACACACTGAAAGCCCACTGGTTAGTTTTTTGCATGTCCAACATCCTGGTTAGATAAAGATACTGCTATTTCATTGTGAATTTTACATTTCCTGTTCCTACTGTTGTTCATGCTTCCCTTGTCCTGCCTCTGTCTCTGTAGACACACCAGCTTTATTCAACAACATCAAAGAAAAACTGCATGCTGGGAGAGCTAGTAAATGGGTGTGTATGGAGATCCACATTGTGTGTGTGTGTGTGTGTGTGTGTGCAGTCTGTGCACTTGGATCATTGCAGTTCTCAGAATAAAGGTCAGTTCAGGTTAACTGTGTCCCCAGCGTGTGTCAGTTTATGCTTTCAAATTACCCTCAATAATAATGACAATAACATAAAAATAATCAAACTATGATGAAAATTCCATCCTCTAAAAACAAACACGGTGCTCAGCTATTTTTAGCCATCTGTGTGACAGCCCTGTGCACTCAGCTGTTTGGAGCCTCAGTCAAAGTTGTCTTTGTTCAGCTGACTGACAGTAGACAGTATGTATTTATCTGTGTGAGTGTCAGTGATCAAGCTGTCGATTGATCAGGTTTCACACTCTATTGTTGTTGCTAAGATTCCATGAAGTTTAAACTGTGACACTTTGCGTCACTTTGTGGTTTTGTGAACGTCAATCTGAACGTGAGTATCTTGTGTTTTGTTTTATGTTTACTATCTGCAGCTGAAGATCATTTCATGACAAACAGACAGACAGAGAGTGGTGTCAGTCTTCTCATCTAACTCTGTGCCAGAAGGCATGGACTAAAATAAAATTAATATACAGAGCATGAATGACTAATAAATCCTCAGATGCCTCAGTCTAACCCCGACATTCCTCCTGGCGCTGCTCTGTCACAGACATTCAGTCAGCATATATTTCACCACACTACAGGAAGAGCTGAGAAAGAAGAAGGGTGAAATAAATCCCTCAGGCTCCTAGATCAGCCCTGACTCCAGATGAGGAAGTAGTGATCACACATATACAGAGTCACAGAGGCTCTCCTTTTCTCAGCAGCGAGCAGCTACTTCCTCCTCTGAGTAATAAGAGCGGCTTCACACAGAGCGACTGACTGACTGACTGAGAGAAGCTCACACACAGAGGCACAGCGGGACAGACACACTCATGCTTCGATCCGGCACTTGTTAAATGTGTAAGTACAGAATCAGACAACTTGGGTCATGTGACAATGTAGCTCTGCTGTTGATGTTTTAATGTGAATTTCTCAGGCAGAGCCGTCTGTCTGGTCTTGTTTAAACTTGTTGGATTGGGAGACACAAGTTTACCACAGTGAGATTGTGTGCTGACTTGTGTTGCAAAGAGCAAAGGTTGCTGGAGTTTGTGAGACAATGGAGCAGAGATAATCATTTCATTTTCAGGGCAGAAAATGAGTCTGTGGACCTTGTTGATGAACTGAACTCAGCAGCAAAGGATGTGGTTTGGTGCAGGTTGTAGCAAGCCTTTGCAAAGCCAAGCCCCGTGCACAGGGAGGGACGCCTGAGAATAAAAACACCTCTTTTCCTCATACTTCAAATGTCAAGTTGACACATCAAATGCAGTACAAGCTAATCAAACCATCTTGCATAGCAAGGGATCAAAAAGACTTGAGTGAAAAATGCTTCAAAGTATGATGGATATGTTTCGTCTAGTGACAGACCCGGCACGCCTTCTCGGTCACCGTTACAGTGCTTTTGTGTTTTCAGTGTTTCAGGTGTTGTAGTGTGTGAGAAGTTTGGTAAAGTTTTGCGCTCAGAATAGCTCTGCTGTGGGAGGAAAAGCGAAAGAAGTGGGGTTGAGTCAGCCTCCCTTACATCAGTGCGATCTCTCTTTTGGCCATGAAGTTCAGGGGGTTTCCAGAAAAAGCAATAAAACATGTGTGGAATGGGGTGAGGCTTGTTGCATTGATACCCAAGCTCACACTTCAGTTCCATTCATGTTTGTTTTGGTAACTGACCTCAATGAAACTGGAGATAAAATTAGAGCAGTGATCAGTGTGGACCTCTCTTGGTGTGTGTGTGTGTGTATGACAGGGGCTTTCTTAACCAGCATGACGTCAGCCGGTCTTTGCGCTTGCGTTGGCAGTCATGAGCTTGTGGTTACCAGAGCAGGTTCTATCAGCGGGGTGCCAAACCTCAATTGATTTGTCCAAAAACCCCTGTGTGACCGCAGCTCTGTTTCCTGTGTTTACAGCCACAGAGGTTGACTCTGCCTCTATCCTCTTTCGACACCTGTCAGCCGTTTGAAAACACAACCCGTCACCGTGGAGACGGGCCCACAATAAGGAGGCGAGGAGGATTCCCCAAGCTAGACAAGACCTGAGAAGTCAAAAGGAGAAGAAACATTCTGAATCAGCCTCCACGATGGACCAGCAGCAGCACGCCAAGGTAGAGCGATTTCTCAAGTTGGGATACTCTCACGGTGACATAATGAGGGTGCTGGAGAGCCTCCGCCATGACGCACAGACCAATGATATCCTGGAGGAGCTGATAAAGACTTGCCACACTCGCAGCAACAAAAGTCTCCCAAATAGCCCCAAGTTGGTGTCCAGAGGCTGCAGCCCTGGTCCCACTCAGCCCAGACCTGGAGGAGACAGAGAAAAAGTTGCTGACTTCAGACCAGTGGTTATTGATGGAAGCAACGTGGCCATGAGGTGAGTCAACTTAGTACATCTATCATTGCTTGTCTTATGTCTTTTGTATGTTTATGAGCAGCTGCAGTGATGGAGGAAGAAGGAAGTGCAGAAGAATTATCAGCAAAATGTACCTAAAGAATCGAAAGTATTTGTTGGGGAGTGTCATATTATTTTATCATTATCTGATGATTAAACTGAGGCCTTAATACATTAGCAGGATTTTAATTCTAGTCAGGTTGGAGCTGATTGAATTGCTCTATATGCTGTTGGATCATTTAATCTTGCTTGGGGCACCAGGGGAAGGTTGCCTAGGACACCAAATGTGCTCGCTCTGCCACTGCAAGTATAAAGTTATATAGAAATACTTAAGTGAAGTGCAAGTATCTCAAAGTTGCACTTAAGTATAGTGCTTCCCTAAATGTACATAGTTTTTTTCAACCACTTTCCAGCTGGTATTTATTCTCTGGCCAAGCCAAACATTTCCAAATATTTCACATTTCTTTCTCTTTACTTCCTGGAAAAAATACTTTCCTCAGGTGTGAGGCTTTAGAATAACAGAGATGATCATACATGTGTATAACTGAATTTAAGATAATGGAAAAATAACATTAAGACTACAGTATTTTCGTGTCTGTTTGTGTCAAATTGTGTTTCACTTCACAGATTTGATTTCACCACACTTCCTCTTTAAAGATGTGGGAAGTGAAAACAAGAGGTGTACCTATATATTTCTCTTTGCTTCCACTCACTTCAAGATTATTTAACGCCTGAAGGACAAAGTGACATGTTTAATGTCGCCATCAGGTTCGAGCTCTCTAGATGATTCTCCTATTCGGCATGACTTGCAGTATGTGTAACATAATACTGAAATGACATTCCTGCATCACATAATCACACGTTAGCTACCATTATGTACCTGACCTAAATTAGTAACAAGGAAGTTCTGAGTCGAAATTTGCTCCAACAACAATCAGGGCAAGTGGGAGGAGGACCTGATATGAATTCAGAATAGAAAACAAAAGAGCAATGTGTTCACAGCACATATTCCTGTAAGGACATGAAGTGAGGGGAAAGAGGACGAGGGCTGAGGTACTTCCGTCACACTTTTTATTCTCAGGAGATGCAGTTGAACTTTAGCCCGGCCTCAGGCATGAAATCTCAAAGGGGAGACTTTTCTTTCTGTTTCCCTGTTGGTGTCAGAGTTATCCTGATCTGATTCAGTGTTGCACTTTGAGTAATTTGGAGGGCTTGTGAGAGACAGATTATAAAAAGCAGCAGATGAGATAATGCTGAGTGTTAGTCCCAGGTAGAGCTCAACCTCCAGAAACATTGGTTCCTACATTTCCCATAATGCAACTCAATTAGGAATGTCAGTTTCTGTTAATTTTGCTTTTGATAGCCTGACACCAAAGCACTATCCATTTAGAGATGGTGATGTTTTAATATTTTGTGATGGAAATGTCTTGCCTTTTATTTTCTGTTAGCTTTGCTTATAAACAGAAGGCTAAGTGTGTTAACATGCGGAAAAAGTGCCCACTGCCCACCCTCCGATCTCCACTGGTTCGCTAACATTAGCCTTGGCGGCTCTGCACTTAGCACCACCTGCATTGGGTGGGAGCTAGCTAGCTGGATGGCTCATTTGCTAGTAATTCTGTCTCAGTGGCGGCACAGCATGACTGTGGAAAAATGGTGCCCACCTTCTGGCCCCCCCCCCCCAAGTAGCCCCAGTGAGTAGGCGACTTCATTTTGTGCCTCAAACCCCCCTTTAGTACTGTTAACTATGTTAGCACCACTAGCCGTGCTGACACTGCTAACCATGCTAACAAAGCTAGCAGTAGTTAACAATGCTAAAGAGGGTATGTGGTTCAAAATTCGGCTGCTTACTCTGCTGGGGACAGGGTGACCTTGGAGACCAGAGGGTGGGCACGTGTTTCCAGAGCAACGCTGTTGGGTCAAGATGGTGTTACAAGTAGTAGTCGCAGAATGAGTGGTGCCGCTAGCTATCATTTGCTCCCACCAGAGCTAGGTGGTGCACAGTGCAGTAAACTAAAGATTAGCAAAATTATCCTTTAGACCTACTTGCATAACTGCTCAAAATTTTTTTAAGCAGGTTAACAGTTAACATTGCAAAAGTCAGAATCATCTTTTGTTGGATCCTCCCTACCCAGTAAAAGCTCACATTTTTCTCAGCACCCCTAGTGTGTAACAATTTCTTAAATAAATTTGTAGTATCCAAACCCATACCAATTTACTCACTCTCACATATAATATCTGACTTACATTCATAAGGTGGCCAAAAACATGACTGAATGAATGCTAATGTTGCTCTGTGCTACTGGATGTGTAAATAGGCAAAAATATGCTAACATATTAGCTGCAACAACTTTATAAGGTGTTTAAATGTAAGTGTTTACAGCTGGTTGTGTTGACCCCAAGTGGCTAAAAAAAAAAGTAAAAAAAATCAATTATTGCTACTTTAAACCAGCCAACAGTATATGACCACATTAAAATACTTTGCAGAGGCACCAGTCTTCAGAATGAGTTGTTTTACCTTTGATTTCTCTCATTTTATTAGTTATTTTATTAGTTAGACAGTTAGTTCCTTATGACTGCTTGTTTCCATTATGGCTCTGCTCTTAACATGTGTCTGGTGCTTTCATAAGCTAATTTGGGCAATGTTTAACTTAACTTATGGGCCCATTCAAGCAATAAAATATACACCAAGTCTGCAAATAAAGCAGCTCGCTGAATGTGTAGCTCTCTGAAAGCACTGATTATATTTGGTAAAGAGCTACTGTAAGAATAAAGTATCAAGGAAATATCATTCAAAGTCAACTTGATGCACCAGTTAAGTTACGCAAGATACGCGTATTCGGAATCCATTAACTACCTCATGCCAAGCCTCGTCTTTCTTACCTGTTGTACGCAAAGTGTCTCGCTACTTCCTGCTGCGAGTGAGAGGGGAAACCCCAGTGTGCGTGCACGCACACACATACACTTTCTACCTTCTCCCGCAGGCAAAACGATCCAGTTTACTTCTGCAGTAGCTCTTGAGTGCATCCTGGTAATGCAAGTGTTAGAGCAGGTTTGAATTTCAGAGAACAGAGTTTGTCAGATGTACTAACGGATCTAATAACAGGTCAGACATTGCGGCAAGTTATGATCATGATTTCCACATTTCTCTTTTAATAACTTTTTCAAGGTCTAGTTCAGGGAAATGTCATGCTTCAGGGTTAACATGAACATAGAGGCCTTGTTTCTTCACTCAAGATCTTATCACGTCAAAGAAAATGTGTAAACTGCTATAAAATATCAGTCATGACTCTTCCCTCGGGATGTAACATTTTAAAAAATACTTTTAAAGCCATCCATCATTTTTCCCAAAAAATAAGCCCTTATTCTGTTTTTCTCAAATGTACAAAGCTCTAAGGACTTCTCGGCATTGGTGTATTCCTATCATGTTCACTGATCAGAAGCTTTGATAAGTTATTATCAGGGTTTAGATTTCATAACTACCAAATGCTGCCATGGTTTTCCTTGCTGTGTGAGAAAACTTTAGTTTCTCAATATAAAAATCTTGCCACTGTTTCGTAAGGCACAATCATTTACAGTAAAATTTAATTTTAGGATTAAGGAGAGATTCATGCTTTGCTACAGAGTGCACATGAACAGTCTCAGTTCTGCGTTAAGTTACTCATCTCTATGCTTTTGCAATTGTGTTTTAGAGAACTCTGAGCCTTGCAACACTGTTTACTTCCTGAAAAAGGGAGAAGAGATACGTGTGTGTGCATAACGTGCAGAGAAACACAAAAGAAGAAGTCGTTTTTTTTGTTGACTCCAGCTTCTGTGTCTTTGTAGCCATGGCGACAAGAAGGTGTTTTCGTGCCAGGGCCTTCAGCTGGCAGTGAACTGGTTCTGGGACAAAGGGATACGAGACATCACCGTGTTTGTTCCCCTGTGGAGGAAGGAGCAGCCGCGACCTGAGGCACCCATCACCGGTAAGGTCACCTGACTGAGCTGAGGTGGCACTGTCTGCTCATTCTGACACCCTGTGAGGTCAGTTTAAGGGAAGTGCCACCGCTCACATGCTATTTGTGTTCTTTAGGACAGTTAAATCAGAGTTTGTGTGCACATTTTCTCCTTTCTGGGCTCAAGTATGACCTCACCCAACTGTGATGTCATATTAACATCACAGTTAACATAGCTGCAGGTCGTTTATAGACAATGAATGAAATGTTGCGGTGACTGTGGTGCCACAAGACTCTTGTAGAGGAAGTTGTGCCACACAACAAACACAATAACCTTCTTATTAAAGCACTGTTAATCCGGACCAACCAGAATTTAAACTTCTTTCATGGATGCACCCACACTTAAATTTTGTGTCAACAGTGTGAGCATTGTAGCAGAGCAGGATTTGGACATGTCCCAAACTGTTGTTAAAAAAGCCACTGTTTGGTCACTAAAAACACAACTGGACATGTCCCAAACTGTTGTTGAAAAAGACTCTGTTTGGTCACTAAAAACACAGCTGGACATGTCCCGAACTGTCATTAAAAAACATCCGCTTTTGTTGGTCAATATCAGTGGTCTTGTGCCATCTGCTGCTTTGCAGACAGCCCATCTATGTGTCACACCATCAACCATCCCCTCCTCCTCCTGATGAGAAACTGAGTTCTGAGATACTTCATACAGATAAAGCATGTGACTGTACCATGTATGTATGCCAAAATTTTATTGTGGTGACTGGGCTGTTTGACATGCCAGCTTCCTTATACAGGCACGTCATGCAGCTTCTAACAGAGTGTTTCAGGCTTGAGCTGCAACATGCTCCACTGTGTTCACCTGCCAGTCTCTAATTGTTTCTGTCTGCTGTTTGCTGCTGAGCAGGTAGTGTACATAGAGTTTATCAAAGGTTTTTCTCTAAAACAGTTGCAGCTGTAAACAAGGTTGATGGAAGCAGAGTTAAACAAAAAGCTAAAAGAGGCTGAAAAGTTTAGTGGAGCTGAGGGAACTAAATCTCGACCCCTTTCACCTTAAACATTGTGATTTAATCTATTGTTAATACAAGATGAATATTGATTAGCTTTAACTTGCAAACACAGCCTTTAGATACAGAGTCCCAACATCAGCTCCCATATTTTGGTGGCTGTAATTACAGCCAAACTCCTATCAGCTGTTCACCAGCCTGAGGATAATCCAACCATCAAACTTAATGAAATACAGTATGTTCAGAATGTTAAACATATATGAGGGCTGAAACAAAGACTTTTGAATGACAAATTAATTGCTGATCAGGAAACTAACTTTAAAAAAAAAAAAGTAACTATATAATCAATAACCATGTTAAAATAATCCAGCCACTTTTATGTACAAATATTTTTAATATAAGAAAATATCAGTTTTGCTGTTCTTCATCTCTTAATTCTAAGTAAAATGATACATTTTACACTCACAGCAGCAAAACTATTGGATTCATTTGAATAAACGGAAGAAAAAATAGAAGCCATTACACTGAGTAGGAATTCCTTATCACCAAAAATCAAGGAAATAAGAACAAGTAACATATTTGCAACTGTACAGGCCACTCAGGCAGGTTATCTTCATCTTGTTTAGTTTCCAGTGACGACAGTCCATCTGATGAGTTTCACCCAGTTCCACAGTGAAAAACAAGTATCAAATTGCCCATGAAAACATCTCAAACAATAAGGAAGTGTAACCACCAAAACTATAATCCAGTATCTTGCTCATGTTGGATCAAGTCGGCTAAAAATATCTTCTTTCCTGAAAGTGATCACCAGCAATTTATAAGGAAGTGTTCTCGGTGCCAAGTGCAGTTTCACACCTTTTATGATCATGGTGTAAAGCTCACTATCAAACAAGCAGACTAAGATAAAGATAAAAGCTTATATGGACTGCAACGTGCAGGTTGTCCCTACAACCAGCGCAGACTTGTTTTCTTACGTTAATATTTCCGTGGCTGTTATCTTCTGTTTATGGAACATGACTATGTGCTGCATGCTCAGACACAATCATACACTAACCCTTTAATGGTTCCACACAGGAAAAAATGAAACAATTCTCAGTACTTTATTTTTTCAAGTGACTTTTTGATCATGAGCTCCGCCCCCTAGCAACTGTTTAGTCCTGTTTCGCCCAGTAAGATGAAATAAAAGATATTTAACCACATCTCCCTTTTTATGACAAGAGCTAAACCCAATAAAACATCTTACATAACATAGAATGGAAAAAATAGATCTATAAATAAGAATATGTATTTATTTATGATCAAACTAGACCTGAAGATAGATTTCCAGTGTTCTGAGCACCTCGACAATTTAATATAATATATAAATTGCAATACAGCCTTTGTAGTGATGGGTCAAATCTGCTCAGCCGTGTGTTAGTGCAAAAGCTCCAAACTTACTGACTTGTATTCATATACAAGGAAACTAAGTATTTCCTGCACTCCAAAGTGGACAGTGCCCCCAGTGATCAGGGTGAAGTGGTCAAAGTGCACAAGCTTCGTTGTGCTTAAACCTGACTTTGATGAATCATTACCAGTATTAGAAGTTTCACACAAACATTTCCTAATTAATCATTTAATTTCAATGAAAACACCTAAAATCTGTTGCTTTCTTTTTTTTTTAAAGGTGTCTATATATGTGTCTATATAGGTGTCTATAGGTGTAGACAGCAGCGGTGGATGCAAGGGACATTTGCCCCTTAATATTTAGCAGTGCATTTGTCCCCCCCACCAATAAAAACATGAAGGTAGCAGAAGTTGACGACATTTAGATCATAAATTGATGCAGAACAGGCACAAAATTGTGCATTAAAATTCACCGGAATGCAGGAAATTAGGTGTTCGATGCCCAAAATCTTCTAGTGGAGAACCCCAAACCCCATTTCTTAAATGTGCCATTAACTTCCTGGCAGAAACCCACCTAAAAAGGTCTAGGCCTGAAAACTGCAGTGCACCCTGGGAAATTTGGAGGGGTAACATACTTTAAAGCTAGTAATGGCACAGTCAGGTTGAACTAACTAATGTTCTTCACCAAACTACTGAGATGACCATTAAAGCGTAGACATTCTTGATTTTTTCATGCACAAGAAAGACCAGATCATTGCTAGCCCTGGGCTTGTAATAATAAGCCTTATAATAACAATAAAACAACAATATTCTTATTGGTTTTGTAGATCAACATATTCTCCACGAGCTGGAGAGGAGGAAGATCCTGGTGTACACGCCGTCCCGCTGTGTGAACGGGAAGAGGGTGGTGTGCTACGATGACCGCTACATCGTCAAGCTGGCCGTCGACTCCGACGGCATCATCGTGTCCAACGACAACTACCGTGACCTGCAGACGGAGAACCCCAAGTGGAAGAAGTTCATAGAGGAGAGGCTGCTGATGTACACGTTCGCTAACGACAAGTAAGTCTGATAGCAGCTTTGGGCCACTGTACACATGCAGGGGTGTGTGCAGAGTGTGTAGGGGCAGAGGGAAAAGGGGCACCTATTCTCCACACATATAGTAGATAGAGAGACCCAAAATGTCACATGTGATATCGCCTGATCCTGACTGTGTCTCTGTGCTGCTGCAGGTTCATGCCTCCAGACGATCCTCTGGGAAGGAACGGCCCCACCATTGATGATTTTTTGCGGAAGAAGCCGTGGACCCCAGACAACAAGCTGCAGCATTGTCCTTACGGTTGGTTTACTCTTCTGTTTCACCCAACAACAGATACAACAGCTCAGGTTACACTTCCTCGTACTCTCCCAGGGGATTAAATCAGTACAATGACAACCAGTTTAGGGAAACTATCTGCAGTACATTTTTGCTCTACTTAGCTGTGCTGTGCTTTAAGCTAAATGCTAACGCCAGCATGCTAACATGCTCAGAATGATCATTCTGACTATTATGACGATTTGTATTATGAGTTTTTATATTTGTAAAACTTTCCTTGACATGACTACTGTGTATATTCTGTGGGCTGCATACCAATGCACCAGAGCAGCAATTCTTATTAACATCTGTCCATCATTAAGAGTCAACAACGTCTTTCTGACATCATGTTGACATCAGGTCTCAGCAGGGGCCGCATTGCAGACACTGTCTGATTGACCACAGTGTATTTTTTAAATTATCCAAGTGGATTAGAAAAGATTTCACAACACCAAAGTGTTTCATCTTGCCATAGAGGAAGTATAAAGTCCAGGAACATCACCCCACTTGGAGTTTCAAGATGTCGAGTCAACTGAAAAGTGGAAGCTGTGCCTCACTGAAACTTTGATTTCAACACATAATTATCTTTTCTTATTAGTAACATTTTTATAAGTGAGCGTTTTCAGAGAGGTGTAGAGCCAGTAGGGGGTGCTGTTTTCTTGTCCGTCCTTACTCCTCAGTGACTCCGGACTGAGGCGTATGAAACTTGTAGAGGGCCAACCCATCTGTCATGAAGAGATCAGCTGACGAGTGATTTATTTGCCCGCCTGTCAGTCAGTGATTGGGCCAGAGAGACACCCAGGGATCACTTCAAAGAGTTCTACAGTAGTAAAGTCTGTCCGCACAAAGAGAGCATGAGGTTACAGCCGGTTTATGTGTGAAGCAAAGTGTGTTTACAGTCGTGCAGACAGGAAGAGAGGGCTCGCAGCGCACTCAGACACACACATCCTGTGTTGGCAGTTTCTTCAGGAGATACATGTTGACATCTGTGGAGCCCAGAAATAATCTCTTCTTTCTTTCTTTTAGGAAAGAAGTGTACTTATGGAGTCAAGTGCAAGTTCTACCACCCAGAGCGGGCCAACCAATCACAGCTGTCTGTGGCTGATGAGCTGAGAGCGCTGAGAGACAGAGCCAAGAACTTCTCGCCCAAACCCAGCCTGCAGGACACACACTGCTGCCCCGCTGTGTATCAGCCGGAGCACGGATACATTTCATCCACCCCTCCTCCGCCCCTGAGCGCAGAGGATCAATCCCTCAGGGCTTCACCCAGCGAGCAGTTCTTGTATCACAGAGACACCAGCAGCCCGAGGAGCCAGCCAAACACCAGTCTGCACCTCTGCCCGAGCCCGGATGTGGACGAGGCCTTCAGCTCCATGGACAGCTCCATGTCCAGGCTCTAAATCCATGATGTGCCCCACAGCTACAGCAGTGGCGTGGCCAGCTACAGCCTGAGCCACGACGACTACTCCTTATCAGGGTCCTATGGCGGGAACACCCAGAGGCCCTGCCTGAGCGGAGGTTACTACCCCCATCAGAACGGCTCAGTGTCCTGTGAACGCCCCATGTGCAGCCACTGTAGGTGTGCTCACCAGGAGACAAGGGTGTCCCACCACCAGCACCACCCAGCATGGGGTTCCTGTCCAACTCTGCCTCCACATAACAGGGAGCATCCTGGTTATTATTCAGAGAACCAGTACACGAGACAGCACTCCAACAGACAGAGCCACAGCTTACCAAGGGACCCATGGGTGCAGGGCAGAGCCAAGAGTCCGTCCAGCGAGCAGAGGAAGGGCCTGAGGAGCCAGCTGAGCACCCTCTTCCCTCAGAGCATGGTGGAGCAAGTCATGAATACTTACCCACACATCACAGACATGTCTGAACTGATCCCTCTCATCCAGAGCCACAGGACCAGTCACATCTCCTTCTAGATTAGAAAGACTTTTTTTTTGACTCAAACTGAGTCCACATCGTAGTTCTCATCCCAGAAACAAAGTGAAAACTGAAAAAAAAATCTGCTTACATACGAATCATACTGTGGCAAGCTTGCTTGAGCTCATCCCAAACTCAGCCTTTATCTTAAGCATTAAAAGTGACTCGATCTGATGAAGTCTTGAAAATGTAGCAGACTGAATGCTGTTTCTTTAGTATAAAAGTGCAATGCACTACGCTCCATACATGCTACGTATTGTAGCAGTGAAAATATTTTATTAAAGCAGCATGTGTTGTTTTTCTCATGTTGCCTCAAAGTGAGGAACTCTATCATGCCATTCTGTACTTGTGTAAAGAATGACATCGACCTATTTTTATATAAATTCTAGAGGCTTGTGTTTTTGCTGTTCCTGTGAAATAAAAGCACTCAAATCACTCCGGATAATTGTCAGTGATTAACTTGTCCTTAAAGGTGGGTAATACAAGTATGGAAGTCCATTTCTGCCTGTGTGATGGAAGAAAAACGATCCTTTATCGAAATAATGACTAACTTATCTCAACATGACTCAGTATCTTAAAATAATGGAAACTTTTTTAAATTAGTCAGAATCCAGGTACTGAGAGAGAGAGTTTCAGTCTTCAATACGGAAGTAGATGAACAAGATATTCACAGTGCTGACTGAAATTTCGAGCTGCTGCTGCTCTCTGGTGGTTGAACCCACCAGTGTTGCTACACTACATTTAGTGATGACACAGCAGGTGTTTTTCATCAAAGACAAATACCCGCTGCAACATGCTGAGAGCTCTGCCCTGCGTTCCAAATCGCATACTTCTACTATATACTTTTAGTATGTACTGCAGCTGCCCTTAAAAAGTATGTAGCGTAGTATGCAGTATGCATGCAGTGTGCATACTATTGGGACACACTACATCCGCCATCACATCCACCCTGAACTCCGACCCTCTTGCTCACCTCCGCCGCCGTCCGTAGCGCCACATTTGAATATTTTGTTTTGTTGTACTTCGGAGATGCAGCCAATCTCCTCTCGTCGAGCCCGCCAGAGTCGCGCATACCGTCGGAGGTGCTGGAGAGCTCTGTTGCTGTTATGTCATAATATATGTTGTTGTTTCTAATAAACTGATGTGTTCACGTAAACAGTCCCAAGCCTATTATTAGTGACCTGTCTACTGAACTAGTCACCAGTAGGCACATTAACCCCCTTCACACATAGCTCTCTGTTGCTGGCAGATGTTTGATGTTGAATATATTTACAGCTGTGCAGCTGCTGGCACTATATTCTGTCTGCACGTGAAGCAACCTTACATTCACATTACTTTTATTTGTAGTGTAACACACTTGCACATTCTTACTACATTACTTAATATGTATTTGACTTTTACTATTTATATATTTACTAGTCTATACTGCTCATACCTGGCCCATAGTGTATTCATATTTAGTCATATGCATTCATTATTTATACCACACTTACACCACTGCCTATACTGGTAGAATCTTCTATATTGTAGTCATAGTTGAACCCTAACACTGATTATACTATAATCACAATAAAGTTGAATGTTGTAACAGTGTTCTTGCAAAACTGTATGGTATGTGACAGTATATAACCAGATCATTGCAGTCCTAATATGAAGTGTCTTAGTATTAAATAAATTAAATAAACCATGTATGAAAGGAAGTGTGGGCGTTGGTTGTACGCGCAGCTCAGTGTGACGTAACTTCCGCTGCGCAAAGGATTGTGGGTCAGAATGGCCAAAGAAGCATGCTGACATGCATACTGCGAAATATGACCGGATGTAGTAGAACATCCTGGTACTTTTGGCATACTGCATCTGACATACTATGTATTGGGACACACTAATTCTTTTTCTGGCATACTAAATAGTATGGTAGTATGGGTACTGGAACGCAGGGCTGGTCTGGGTTTAAAAGGAAATATCCTGACTTTATTTCCTCATATTGGAAAGCTGTTGAGATATTTCAGTCTGGCTCAAGGGGTTATCTACAGGGCCCAGGTGTTCAGAAGTAATCTGATCGGATTGGATCAAATCTTGAAGATGGGTTGTCCAAAAGAAAAACAGAAATTCTGATATCAGATTCGATCACATAATCCAGCTTCTGTTTTGATCTGGATCAAACCTCCAGTATGTGTTGTTCAAAACTTTATAGTGGGGTGGCTGGGATACCTTTGATCCCAAAAAAATCAGGAGTATCCTGATTGCAGCAGAAGGGTGGATTACAGGAACAAAGTGCTATAAAACCTTTAAATTGGTCAAATATATATACACTTATTCAGATTTAGCACTTGACTTGTTTAGCCATTACAGTGACAAAATAGAAAAAGTAGGCATTAAGGTTACCTATTAAGCCTTACAGTACTGGATAAAGGATTTTGTCCCCATAAAATAACCCCCAAACATCTGTTGATATCAAACAAAAATACTTAATGTTAACCTTCATTCGTCACTTTATAGTAGTTGCAATGACACAGTCAAAGGTAGTTTCCAACAACTGGAACTGTCTCTTCAAATAAACATAGAAAGTGAACCCAAGCTTCTACTATACTTGTTCTTAACATGGCTAGTAGACTACATTGTGATATGTAATCCTACTTATAGCACTGGTTATTAGGATACTGTAATCCTGGAAATCTGAATCCGGATCAGGGTGAACCAATGTTGTTTTGAAAAACCAGCATAAAAGTAAGTTGGATTAGCTGATCATGGATAGCAAAACAACATTCTTTGATCTGGATCATTCTGATCCCTATCAAAGTCCTTGAAGTACTGGGCCCAGGTCTGAAAATTGAAACCAGTGCAGAAGTGCCTTGAACCTGCATTCTTTCTAATGGCCAGCAGGGGGCGACTCCACTGGTTGCAAAAAAAAAGAAGTCCAATTGTTTAGAAGTCTGTGAAAAATTCACCCTACCTATCACTTGATTTAATGAGTTTATGGTCTCCATCTTCTTCAATACAGCACGATTTTCATTTTGTCAATGATGGTCCTTTTTAGAGTAAAATAGATGATAAAGGGTGTGGCTACCTTGTGACTGACAAGTCTCTATCCCAGTGGTGGCCTCAGGCTCTCAATCAGCTCCACCCTCTCATCCAAATATGGTCACTTCTGGCTCCAAAAAACTCAACAATCCAAGATGGCGATGGCCAAAGTGCCAAACTTAAGGCCTCAAAACATCCGTCCACAAGCCAGTGGGTGAAGTCATGGAGGCTACGTCCACTGCTTATTTCTGTTGTATGGTCTGGGGCAGGGGTAGGCAACCTACGGCTCCAGTTGCTCTTTCACAAGAAAACAGAATTTAACTGTGTTTGAAGAGACTTGTTTGCTTTTAGTGCCAACTCTGCAAGGTTTAAGTTCCAATAAATCACAAACAGTCCCCTACAGTGCCACCTGGTGGTGAAACATATGAATGAATGAATGAATGAATGAATGAATGAATGAATGCTCATTTAGACCTATTTGTAATTGGCAGGCTAATTTATATTTAATAAGCTGCATTAACTTCATTATTAATATGATTTGCAGCTGTTTTCCAGATAGATTTTTTTTAAATTATTTTTGGTCACACATGGCTCTTTTGATTACGAAGGTTGCCGACCTCTGGTCTGGGGCAACAGAGGAAGAACATTCATTCATTCATACACCATCCAAGACCTGCCAACATGTGAGTATGTATAAAATGTGTATTAATACACAGCTGAAATTGTTGTTGACAAAAAGAAAAATAAAGTAGTCATATAACACCAGATTCATCCTTTTACTGAACAACAGTCACTGTGGCCACAAGTGACAAGTAAGGAATATGGTCAGTGCTAAAACAGAAGCATATCTAGAGAAGGGTGATAAAGTAATATCCACTATATAACAATACCTAAGCCATACTAAGCTTAGTTAACCCCTTAAGTGTCTTGAATTAATTACTCCCAAAATCAACTTATCCCTCATGATAGTAAGACTGTCTTCTAGTAACACAGCCTGGTTTTAAACCAATCAGCGCGCTCTGTTGGTTCAAACTTTCAAGTGTCAGGACGCCCCGCTGGCCTGGGTTTAAAGTGCAGACTAAAAGCAAAAGGTGAAAAAAACTTAACAAAAAGGCCTTCAAGTGTTGCCACAACATATTTAGCATGCAGGTGTTTTCATTAGAAACATACAGAGAAATTCAAGGCAGTAGCAGTGTTTAAAGACCTTGTTACTAATTCTTGGTGTAACTCTCAGTCGACCTTTTTCACAGGAGACATATTGACATATTGAAGAAGAAGCACAGGCATAATTAATAACATTAGTAATGGTACAATCCTTCCCCAGTGAGACACAATACTAATGAAACCTAAATGGAATGTACCCATCGCTTTCCTGCAATGACCGAGCAAAATGTTTGCTCAGTTAGTTTAGATCCATTACTGTCAGAACCCTTTAACCACATTATGCCAGCGTAAAGATTTGGAAACATTAAATGAATAATTCACCCAAAAACATTCAAAATTGTACATAGTACTCACCTTTCTAGGCTCTCTGTGGTCCCAGGAAAAACGTTCTATCGAATAGCGTTCAGGAGAAGTGAGTGCCTAAAAAAAATGAAAGCATATCAGTGCAAATAGACTTCGACAGAAGCTGAACGGAAGACAGCAACAAACGTTAGGAAAATGTCCAAAAAAAAACTAAGTGTCTTGTATCCATTTGTTGGTTTGTGGAAATCCAAACACCTATTTTCGCGCAACTATCTCTACATAATGCGGGATCATCCGAAAATGCTTCGTTCAGCAATAATGTAGATGTTTGGATGATGCTGCACACTAATTTTCAGTTTTTCGTTTCGTCTTTCGTTCAACCTCCATTCAAGGATGTTTGCACTTATATGCTGCATTTTTGCTCTTGGTAATGCCATTTATTAAAAAACTTTTTCGGGGACCACAGAGAGCCTCGGGGTGCATACTATATAAGACATTGTTCCTGGGGTGAATCTTAGGTTTTATCAGCACAGGGCTCAAAGTGACACCATTATTAATGTTACTGATTATGCCTGTGCTTTTCCCTTTATGACCAGTCAACACATCTCCTATGAAAAAGGTCGACTAAGGGTTACACAAAAAAATTGTCACTGGTGTTGAAAACTGCCAGCATACTGTACTTTATACAGGGTTTCTATATAGTAAAATGAAAGCATTTGGTTGGACTATTCCTTTAAGCAGGTGGCGAGAGTTGACGTCTCCACTGACACCCATGTTGGTCTCTTCTGCCCTCTAGTGGATAAAAACACCCTGACTGTTGCATCAGTATCACAAAGACAAACCTCAAAAAAATCAGAATAGATTTTTTTAATTATTTTTACAAATAACTTATCTGTTACAAAGACAGTTTTCCCAGCTAAAATCAAAAAAACACTTTAGATATCCAAATTACTTTTTTTTTCTCCATTTAATAAAACATGAATAAACTGCCTCTTCACACCAAGGTGCAGATAAAGCTGAAAACTGGTTTCTTTGGATTGGAAAAAAGGAAAAAAAAAAAAGTATGGCATAAGTGCTTAAGAGACAATAATTCATCTACTTTTAAATGGGTTTAAACAATGCTAAAAATTTTGGTTTTAAAAATGGCACTCGGATGTGACAGAATAGATCATCAGTACAAATTGGATAGTTCTAAAGGCACTGATTCAAGGCAACATTTCACAAGTGTGGGAAAAAACAAAACAAAACAAAACAAAGTAACTATTCCACAGTTAAGGTAAGTTAATGACGATAAGTAAACTTTAGAAACACCCTCATCGATAAAAGCTTAGGAGGATGACATGAGCCAAATAAAAATACGAGTATACAAAATGGACAGTCATGTTGTCTGCTTCCAAGATGTTGTGACCTGTTGTATATAAGGCATAGGACCATCATAGAGAGAAACATATTCACTTTGTTACCTCACAAAAACCTAATTCAGGTGCATAGCAACATGGAGACTTTGAACCCAATCAGCTGTTCCAGGAGCACTTTGACATCGATCTGCGGTAACATCCTGATTGTACTTGTAAATGAGAGTCTCTCTGCACTGAGGTGTAGCTGTCCCCAAACATTAAACTTACATTCCAGTTGTCAGATAAGATGGCAGTTTGTAAATTTTGCTTTTTG